CCGCCATCGGGCTGCTGGCTCAGGCTGCTCACCCCGTTCTGGGCAGAGGGAGTGGAACGTATCGTCTCCGAGGCAGATTCAACCATCATGACTCGCTAGCAGGACCTGAGGAGGAGGAGGAAGGGAGAGCAGAGGCTGAGAACGGAGTCCGGGATCCCTGGCTGGCATCCCCATTCCGCCTGCCCTGCCCCTGATCCCCGTGACATCCTGCAGGGGTGGGATGTCAAACCCTGTTCAGTTTTAGCTGCGTTCAATTTACCCCAAAAAATAAACGTGCAGCAGCACGAGGTGCCACAGACACTCTGTCGGCCCTGCACATCCCTGGGCAAGGCAAGTGCAACCCGTTCCTCAGGAAAACCCATGATTCCAGCTTTCTCTGAGCCTGATGCAAGACACAAAGCCCCAGGAATCCGGGTATTTTCACTGAATCCCAAAATATTTCACTTTGAGATGCTGGAGACAGCACAGCTGGAGTCCCAGCGAGGCTGCACACGGAGTGTGAGGAGCCTGTGCCACAGATCTCACTGTGAAAATCCCAGCAAAGTTGAAACACTTCCTCAAAGTGCTTCAGCTCCCAGCAAAGCAGCACTCCCCAGCAGGAAAAACCACCTGGCAGGAAAAACCAGCCGGCAGAAGGTTTGCTGGCAGGCTGAGGAAGCCCAAAGTTTCAGCAGAGCTGGGACACAGCAGCGAGAACACAGTGATACATCAGCTGGAAAATCCTCCCTCCCTCCCAGCCTTTGCTCAGTTGGCTTGGATTAGTGGGCAGGTTGTTGGTCGTGAACCTGAGGGTCCCCTTTTCTGGGAGAAACTCCTGGATCTGGGCTGGCACTGGAGGAAACAGAACCACAGCATCCAACATCAATTCCTGCCACTCCGACAGCATCCACAGAACCCCCGGGGCCACATCCAGCCCTGACACACACACACAGCGATCAGGGGCGAGGGAACCCCCCCAGAGTGAGGGGCTCTCCCTCCTTCCAGCACACTTTCCTCAGTGGAAAAGCAGAGGACAATTTTATCCCATCCCATCCCTCTCCATCCCCGCCGGTGGGTGCCGGTGTGGGATCAGTCTCACCCAGCGCCGCTCGCAGAGTTTGAAACAAGAGGGGAATAAAGAGGACAGGGAGAAGCAACACTGCCTCTCCCTTTTTTTTCTCCCCCTCTTTTTTTCCCCATTTCCTCCCCCCCCTGCCCCAAAAGCCGGAGAGACAAACCACGAACAACATAATTGCTGAAATGTGGCGTGTAATAATCGCTATTCAGGGCTGATCATTCATATTAAACAGGGTGCAGCGAGCTGCTCATTTGCATGTTTGAGATTATATGCATTTCAAAAGTCATTTCCGCAGGGTATATGACTGACATTAATTCCCATGGGGAGCTGCTGGTTCCCTCCCACTGTCCCGGTGCTCCCGAATCCACGCAGGGTGACACACCAGGAGCTGCGGGACAGTTCAAGGTTAAAGGGATTACTGGGATTTGGGTTTGGTTGAAGCACAGGAGAAGGAATGAGAGCATGGCGTGGTTGGAGCAGCTTCCCAAGGTTCGAGAAAGGATGAGGTGTTCACAGGATGCTGCGTTAGCAGTAAAAATCTAGAAGAAAGACAACACTTTTTGCCTTAAAAACTACATTTGTTCCTTCCCCCTTTTCAATTTCAAACAAATGCCTGCAGAAATGTTAAATTATTGCTGTTCCTATTCCCATTTTCCTTCCGAAATCCACTGCCTGCTCCGTGTTTTGACCAGGCAGCACAGGGAGTGCCAGGCTCTGCCCATGTCCAGCAGTCACACGGCATCACCACGGCCAGAAACTCCTCGGGATTCAAACAGGGATTTGACTTTTATACGGAGAACAAGAATATCCAGAATTACAACAGGAAGTATTAAAAAAG